AAAATATGTAATTAAAATTAAATATCATATTTACTACTCGACATATTTTAAAACTCTTGATGTCATTTATGTATAATGATATATTTTGTATGATTTCATTCTTAATTTCAATGTTTAATATTTGAAAGTTCATATATGAAACCTTGGATGTTTTGGTGTAATAGTATAATACAAAGTTTATTAGTTCAATATTATTTATTAATAGCTCATTCAAAACAACTTATTTCTTATTTTATCTAAAAAATATTATCGGACATAAGAAAAGCAGATTATATTAATGTTATACAAAAACTTATAATATATATTGGATATTATAAAAGTAAAAGTGAAGTTTATAAGGTATGCACTATATTAGATAGTAATAAAACATAAATTGATGGACTTTTATGTTATTTGATAATTCGGTTAATGCCCAAAACATGACTAAAAAACGTAAATTTCAACACATTTCACTTTTTTTCCATAGTTATTTTAACTACTTAAATGCATTCTTTCACAACGCGCAAGGCTATGCCTAGTATACTTATAAAAGAGACATATTTACTTGCACCACATAAATTTGAAATCTCCATAACATTTCAGTTTCGTTCTAATAATTATTATAAATTAGTTAATAATGTTAAATTAATACAAAAACCAAATTCTAATCATAAATTAACTAAACTAAAATATTAAACTATCATATTTTACTTTTATTTATAAAATTATGACTTTAAGTTTTTAACATATTATAGTTAACTTATTAGTTTAGATATGTCATCGTATATGAACAATTGTCATTTTAAAGTCACAACTATTCTATAATTTATGATTTTCTGCAAAATAGTCAAATTATAAATTTCAATATAATGTTAAATGATTATCTTAAATTATAATTTTAGTTAAACTTAAAAAAATCGAGAAACTATTTTATAAATTGTTAAAAGTTATAAGCTATAGTGTTAAACCTAAATTGTAATCCTAAACAAATAAAAAAGCCATGAAATTAGTTTTTATAATCATTAAGACTTTTCAAATAAGTAGCTTAAAAATAACTTAAAATAAAAATAATTAAAAGTAATATTATATAAAAAGTTATAACGTTATCTTAAAAACAAAAACAATGTTTATTGTTTTAAATAATTAGAATCAAATAAACTAACAATATTTATCAAATAAATTTTAAAAAAATTTAACTTTCTGAAACCAAAAAAAATAATTAAAAGTTTTCAAATACATTATTTTAAAGTACTTAGAACAACAATAGTTAAAAGTAATATTATATACAAAAATTATATTGTTACCTTTAAAAACAAAACGATGTTTGATGATTTAGATAATTACAATGATAGAAATCAAGCAAATAAACTTATAAAAATTGATTAATCATAACAATAACTATAAATATCATTAAATTAGATATTATATTTAATTTTATTCATGAGTAATCTGAAGGTAGATGCCATTGAGACAATTGAGATTATAGAATTTAAAAGATGTCTATTTTATCATATAATTCAAAACAAATAATGTTTATACCAACTTATTATAAAAACTATTATATAAGAGCTAACAACAAAGTCCTTGATACATTTAAAGAACATATATTTGTAAAGATTTCAAATATATTGTTGTATTTTGCGCAACGTGCGAGTATTCGCCTAATCTATTATAATAAATGTCAAAATACTTGAATCTCATGCATTTAAAACTCCAATGACCCTTCAATTTTTTATTTTTATTTTTAAATAATGGTTATAATAATAAGTCATACAAACATATAAGAATGCTTTGGAAACCCTCCAGGTTCTTACACCGAGTGCTATGGGAACCCCTACATGGTCTTAGCCCACTGACCAGTGTTATACCAACCCTACATATAAGGATGCCCTAGAAACCCTCCAGGGTCTTACTCCGGCTGCCATGGGAACCCCTACATGGTCTTGACTAAGGATGCCATGGAAACCCTCCAAGGTCTTACACCTAGTGCCTCAGGAAGCCCCCGAGGTCTTTTATGCAAGTATCACAAAGACAACTAGCATATCACATAACACATAATCAACTAGCATACAACATAAGAACTCCTTAGCTGCTGCCTTGCCAACTTCCCGAATTATCACCACCAATCAATATACCTAATTAGCAATTGGGTCCATAGCATAATCCTTAATCCATGTATGGGGTAAAATGACCAGTCTACCCCTGGCCTTGTATGATTCAAACTAAGGCCCAAACCCAAACCAAAAGCCCAACACTATAATGTCCATAAATCCATCAATGGCCCAATTTTCCAAATTAGACCCAAGACCATAGTGGGCCTCCACAAATAAAATATCAACCCAAAACCTGATGGCCCAACAACGCCCACAACAACAAAGCCCAGAAGATGGCCCAAACTGAAGCCCAAAAACCAAAATCCCATTCTGCTGAGTACGCAGGACGTACTCAGCTTGTTCGCTAAGCGTGCTATCTTAAGGGCTTGTACGCCCAGCGTACTCCTCTTGTTGACCAACTCTCAATCCTAGTTCTTAATCCATTAAGCCAAGACGTCCAGAACATCAAAATGGCTAAATATAAGTGACTTGATCAATAAGGTCGAATGCTTTAAGCCTCTGCAAGGCTTAATGAATCCCAAACACCAACGATGAATTCCAAAAGGTTAAAATCGCTCCCAAAATGTCTTAAAACTTCTTAATACCTTGAGACATCAGTCCAAACTTTCATATATGATTTCAAGGGACTTCTTAAATTATAAAGTTTCCATCAAATAACTACCAACTCATGCATGGAAGGTTTACACTCCTCAAGATCCAAACTTTATGACTCTATAACCTTAGTAAGGACCAAATAAGAGGCTCAAAGGTTCTAGAGAAACTTCTACTCACACGAACCACCTCAAAGGGACCAAAATCATAACAATGTACCACTTAGCTAGATCTACATGAAAGAGTTTTAAAGGTTGAGACTTTATTCCTCCAGAAGATAGATTTGGGTGCACAAAGCTTGATCCAAAAGCTCTAAGTCAAACAATGACTCTTCAAGAAGTTCCTTCTTCCTCCTCTAGCACCAAAACAAATCGAAAATCACTTTGAAGCTATTTAATCACTCAAATGGGGGCTAAGGGTCGATTTCTAGGGTTTGGAGGGATGGAGGCTGAAGATCTTAGGGTTTGGTTATGAGATAAGGAGCTTAAATAGGGTTCTGATCTGATTGGAGTATGCCCAACGTACATATGGTACGCCCAGCGTACTCCGGGGAACATTCGTGACCATCCTGGTCAGTACACCTAGCGTACTCCAACGTACGCCCAGGGTACTCCCTTCTTCCCTATTACGCCCCACGTACTCTTTGTGTACGCTTCGCGTACTTGGCTAAGCCTGAAAAACCACGAAACTTCCGAAGGCCATAACTTCTTCGTTATAAGTCTGATTTCGATGATCCGTATATCCACAGAAAGGTGACGAGAATCTCTACACTTCTAACAACTCAAACCTTTCTTAAGACCTTCCGAACAAAAAACCCATTTTCCACAAAAGCCCAAACTGCCACTTTACTAAAATACCCTTAGTCTCCAAAACACGAACCGAACGCCCATCAATTTTAATACATCACCCGCACCCAAATGGGTCTAGGTCGTACCTTCCCAAAATCCATTATCCTTATAATGACCAACCCTCGAGCCACAGCCTCATACTAGAAGTCAATTCGGATCAGAGCGTTAAAACTACATTACCCCCTGGGACCCACAACACACAGGTGGATTGCCCCCGAGTTTTTTGGCCTACAACACAAAGCCATACCACCTCAACTTAACCGCATTATGTCAACATATGCAAAAAGATAATCAATAACCATAAAATAAAGATAATCATACAGATCTACCAATCTAACAGATCACTACGACATAACAATATCCTACACACAAGGACACATATTGCAGTACAAAGTATGGTGAGAAAACTTACGTTGCAGTCTAGAAGATAACAAAGCTAATCATAGATCTAAAAATCGACACTACTGGTCACCTATACAACAAACAGGGACCACGTCTCAAACTACAACCCAAAATCCTCAATTTGACCTAAAGTCGAACTTGATCAAAGTCAACGGTCAAAAGTCAACTTACTTGGCTACTACGCCATGGCCAATACCCTGACACGCCGTGGTAGCCTCACGATAAAACAACCGTGAAACTGCATAATGCTACCATGTAGAGACCAACCCTGCACGTCCTGGGAACCATCCATACCAGTTTATTGCATTAAGCTCTTAATCTTTCAAACCATCCATCCATACTTTCCAGAAGACATGCATGTCCAATGCATATCTTGAACTCAAGTTAGGTCAAAATAGTGTAAAATGAGGTCAAAATCTCACATAAGTAACCAAAACTCAATAACTCTCTAAATCTACAACAACAATCCCTAAAATAACCTCAAGGATTCATAAAGTTGCTAACTTTATGAAATCCATTCATCCAAACTTTCCCAATCAAGAAAATTCTAGCATAGAAGCCTACATCTAGAAGTATAATGCATAAATGTTGAGCTTGAAAACTTAGAATGGTCCAGAATGAGTGAACAAAGATAGTGAGGAAAGTTGGTTGTTGAATTAATGCTCATGGATCACCTTCTTCTTCTTCTTCTTCTTCTTCAAGACATCAAAAATCACCACAAAACTCAAGAACTTCAACAATGGAGGCTAGGGTTTCAATGGGGGAGGAAGGGAGGTGATGGACGCTGAGGGTGTCTAAACCCCAACCATCACATCCCTTAGTAGGGGCGCGAACCTTGAATATTAGGGCTTGTCGTTAAATAGTTGCCACGCTGTGGCGCCCACTTAACCTCCGTGCACTTTCTAGCCATGGCCACATCGTGTGATCTCATTCACTATGTCATGGCCACTAAATCCAAAACTTGAATAATAAAACATTTAAGAGAAACATACCAGAAACTTGGTGTTACATTTCTCCCCTACTTAAACTAGATTTCATCCTCGAAATCCTCAAATAAAATCAGATTTGGGTAGGGATCACTCATATCCAGCTCAGGCTCCTACGTCATTCGGAACCCTTCTGATGCTACCACCTAACCTTAACCAATGGCACCACATGTTGCATAACGTCTTTTCCTTCTTATCTAGAATATCCACCTTCCTTTCCACATAACTCAGACGCTTATCAACCTGAATGTCTTCTAATGGAACCACCGTCGTATTATCAACCAAGCACTTCCTCATGCAGATCGAGCTGGTAGGCCACTTTGCCTACCCTGGCCACCACTCTAAAAGGTTTGGTAAATCGGGGGATCAATTGCCCCCACTTCCTGAAGCGTATAACACCATTCTAAGGCGATACCTTCGGCAGAACCATATCCCCAACCTGAAACTCCAACTCAAATTATCGCCTATCAACATAACTATTATGTAGGCTCTATGTTGTCTGTAACCTCTACCTGATCTGCTTAATTAGTTTAGTTGTTTGGAGCATCACCTCATTCCTCCCCATGATCCTATGGACAACCTCTCCCTAACAAACTGGGGTATGATATTTCCTCTCATATAAATGCTCATAAGGAGGTGCACCAATGATGGAATGGTAGTTATTGTTGTTGTAAGAAGAATCAACTAAAAGGAGGTAGGAGTCCCAACTCCCACCGAAATCAATGACACAAGCCCTCAACATATCCTTAAGTCTCTGAATAATCCGCTCACTCTGGCCATCTATCTGATGGTGATTGTAACATCCCAAAATTCGAAGGCAAAAATTTCATTTTTACAACAAAAAACACCCATTTATCTTTTACCTAAACACTTGAAATTATTTTATAATAAAAACAGCTATCAGAGTACAATCCTAAAATCACACAGTTGCAGAAAAGCATGGGTGTATGCGCTGCATTCAGGCCGAGCCCTTCACTTTCGAACCTAAAGTACCTGAAACCATAAACAAAAACTGTAAGCACAAAGCTTAGCAAGTTCCCCAAATACCACTTACCATACACAACATACGAGTCATACTTATCAAACATGTAATAGGAGGTTCTATATGACAACCTTAGTCTTTCCATTAAGCCACGAGTTGTTTCATGGTCGTTCCTTGCCATGTTGGGGACCAAAACCCTGGGTCTTAAAGACAAGTGCCAGGAGCCACCTCCTGGTCTTCCATACAAGCATCATAAAGACAACCAACATATAATCTACAACTACCTATCTACTTAACTGCCAGAGTCCAAACTCTGGTCTTGTATATGGATTTGCTAGGAGCCACCTCCTGGTCTTTCATACAAATGTCAAGGGCCACCCCCTGGTCTTCCTATAATACAAAAACAAAATGGGCCAACATTGGTGCCTTTGACTTATAACACAGTGAGGAGACTCACCTTGACAGCTAAACCTATAAATAAATCTCTGACTGTAGATCTGCTAGAATCCCCGTGCTATCAAACACAAATAACCTTTAATTAATGAATGGGTCCTGACTCATACTAGGAGTCCAAATCAGGGTAAAAGACCTTTTTACCCTTCCTCAAACTTAGCCTAAGGCTATGGCCCAAACTAGATGACCTAAAAGCCTAAAATCAAAAATAAGCATCTAAGGCCTAAATATGGCCCAATTTTCCAAATTGGGCCCAATTCCTTTCATGGGCCTTCACCCAAGAAAGTCTAATAAAGTCACAAAAGCCCAACCATAAAATCCAGATAGACCAACATGGCCTAAGAAAACCAAACCCAAAACAAAAAAGACCACGCCTACTGAGTATGCGGGTCGTACTCAGCATGTATGCTCAGTGTACTGCATAAAACTGTTGTACGCACAATGTACAAACTTGTACGCCCATCATACTCACCATCCATGGCCAACCTCCCAAATCAGCTCTTAATCTATTGAGACTTTGATCCAAACTTAGATCTAACTTCCCTAATGTGGTTAATCACATAAAGTTGCCAACTTTATGTGCATGCATGGCTAAATGGGACTCTAGAGCTCAAAGGAGCTTAATACTTGACTTAATACATGCATGGGACCAAAACCACCGTAAAGTTTGCACCTTTGTGCCCAAGGGACCCATAATATATCCAGATATACAAAGATAAGCTCCAAAACAACCTTAACTCCTAATCACCAACCAAAAGGACCAAAATGACCAAAAATGAGCCAAGAAATACATTCATGATTGAAATAGCAAGGTTTAAACTTTATACCTTCCAAGCCACCAAAATAAAATGTTAATGTTGGATCTCAAAGCCTTCCTCCAAAGAACAAGTCTTTAAGCTTCTTCTTCTCCTTCTAGGTGCACAAAACCCTCAACAAAAACTTCACAAGATCTCAAGATCACCAAACATGGGCTATGGGATGAATTAGGGGTTTTAGGGTATGGAGGTTGGCTAGGAAATGATCAAAAGAGGCTAATATATGGCTTT